CCAAGAGTATGGCCCCCGGCCACCCTTTTAGCTCAGTAATGAAGTCACTCCTGAGGTTCACCCTTCAGCCAAAGATTAGACAGCCCCATAAAACAAAATGAGACTAATGGGGCACAACAGTTCAGGTACAAGGACTAGAAGGCAGGATGAGACAGGAAAGCTGGTAATAGGGAACCCAAGGAAATCTGGTAATAGGAACAGTGTTGACTTGTCGTGGGGTTGTTAAACATTGTCATAAAAAAATGTGTACTAACTGTTTAATGAGAAACTATTTGTTCTGTAAATATTCATCTAAAGTACTATAAAAAAAAGTGTAACCAGTAATATATATTTCTCTAAATAATGTAGTTTAGTTTTGCTTGTTTTTCAACTTGGTATAAATAGAATAACACCATGTTTTTGTTTTTGTATGTATAGTTTTATGAAGGAGCCCTGGTGGCACAGTGGTTAAGTGCTTGGCTGCTAACTGAAAGGTTGGTGGTTCAAATCCACCAGCCCGTCCTCAGGAGAAAGAAGTGGCAGTCTGCTTCCATAAGCATTATAGCCTTCTTGAAACCTTACAGGGCAGTTGTACTCTGTCCTATAGGGTTGCTAAAAGTTGGAATCAACTCGATGGCAACGTTTTTTTTTTTTTTGGTTTACTGTTTTGTGACTTTGTGACTTTTCCCTTAATATTATTTGTGAGATTTATCCACATTGTTGTATATAGCCCTGCTTCATTTCATTTTCACTGATGTTTAACATTCCATAGTATGAATATACCACAATTTATTTATCTATTTATGCTGCTATAAACATTCTTGTTCATGTCTTTGCATACACACACGCACAAATTTCTCACACTATTTTAAGAAAGACTTCTTGCCCATTTTCTGTAGTTAAGGTGGAACAGTGTAGTGGTTAGGCGAATGAACTGTGAATGAACCTGAATTCATGTCTTGGCTTGGAGAAAGTTATTGTATTTAGCACACTAAACGTCACTTTCTTCATCTGTAAATAAGAAAAGTAAATAAAAGGTAAATATTAATAGTGTTCTTAAGAATAAATGCATTAATAAATGTAAATCACTTAACAAAATCCTGGGCACAAAGCAGGTACTCTAAAAAGCTGTTGTCTTCCCTCCCACTGTAGAAATTGTGAAGTTCGATTGTAGTGGCTTTTGCTTTACATTTTCCTGCTTCTCATTCAATTGGTTTGTCAGCCAAAGGTCAGAGCGAAAGAGTGACTTGTTGAGAGGCTGGATTGGGGGCGCTATTCCTTGATCTTGATTGACTTTATTTACTTCTCTTTCCCTCACCAGGCGGCAGATGGTGTGTGGTCCATGGCAGAGTCCTCCCCGCGGAAACAGAGGGCTGGGTTCGCCTGCAGTTCCATGCAGGTCAAGCCTGGGTGCCGGACACCCCCAGGAGGATGATCTCTCTCTTCCTGTTACCAGCTTGCGTTTTCCCATCCCCAGACCTAGAAGATAATATGTTGTGTCCTGAATGTGCTAAGAGGTAACCCTGAAGTATCTTTCTAAGCATAGCACACAGAAAAGTAGATGTCTAGATGAGTATCTGACATACACAAGTAATTTAGTAGGGGAAGACTGAGGGCAGGCATGCCCTTTTCGTAATTAGCCATGCAGATCAGGTAAAAATAGGAAGTAAGAGAACTTAGTAGTGGATTAGAACTCAGACGTATATGTGGTTAGTCCTTGGGTGGTGCAAATTGTTGATGTGCTTACTCTTAACCAAAAGGCTGGAAGTTCAAGTCCACCCAGAAGCACCTCTAAAGAAAGGCCTGGTGATCTACTGAAAAATCAGCCACTGAAAAACCCTATCAGAGCATGATTCTGCTCTGACACACATGGGGTCACAATGAGTCAGAACTTACTGGATGGCAGTGGCACTGGTTATTTCTTGGCAGCCTGGAAGAACCTTAACAAGTCAGGCCTTGGGCACGTGGTCAGCTCTACCTCCATTTGAGGGGCCTGTGGTCTTGCTTTCTTAGTGCTCCTGCAGCCCAAGCACCACAAGTGGGTGACTTTAGCAAACAGAAATGTATTTTCTCACAGTTTAGGAGGCTAGAAGTCCAGATTCAGGGCACCGGCTCTAGGGGAGAGCGCTCTCTGTCAGCTCTGGGGGAAAATCCGTTTTTGAGCTTCTCAAGCCTGGCGTCCCTCAGCGATTTCTTTACTCTGTTTGTGCTTGCTCGTTCTGTGTCTAATCCGTTCTTTTTATATCTCAGAAGTCATTAGGTTTAAGACATACCCTACAATGATATGGCCTCATTAACAAAACAAAGAACCCTATTTCCAAATGAGATTTCTTCCACACCCATAGGTGTTAGGATTCCAATGCATATTTTAGGGGGGATACAATTCAATCCATAACACCAGTTTTAAGGGAAAGGAAAAAAAATTAAACAAAAAAAAACATATTAAGAGTTCTCACTACATGTCAGATATTCACCTGGGGATAGAAAGATTAGTAAGATAAAATCTGTGTAACATGCCTGAATGGAAATGAGTAAGAGATGCTATGAAAATATATCACAAGCATGTATATTGGAGTAGCTTCAGGAAATTTTAGGGGAGATTACATGTACTGAGGAAGAGTTTACCAGTTGGAAAGTAATAATTTCGGCATGTTGATAGGGGGAACAGCCCATACAAACACGCGGAAATGAAAGAATATGCCGTACTTAGAAACTGCAAATAGGTCAATATGATTGACATTTATACTGAGAAGTAAGTTTCAGGAGGGAAGAATCAGACCAAGAAGTGTTTGTATCTGTGTTAAAGGGCTCATATATTATTCTGTAGGTCATTATTTCTCTTCTCACTTTTGGGACACAAGATTTTTTAAGAATACAACGATAACTATGTACCCTCCCTCCAGAAAAATATACTCTGGGCGTACACACACACATTGTGTTAGATTGTATATAGACCATGAGTGAAGTCAACAGTTAAGTGCTCAACTGCTAGCCAGAAATTTGCTGGTTCAAACCCTCTCAGAGGCACCTTGGAAGACAGTCCTGGTGATCTACTTCCAAAAGGTCACAGCCTTGAAAGCCTTATGGAGCATTCTACTCTGCACACATGGGTCTCCACGAGTCCCAGTTGACTGGATGGAAACTGACAACAACAGAGAAGTCCTATTGTCTATTCATGAGCACTAAACTCAGATTTCGGTGATGGAGCTGGTTGGAGGTGGTGTGAGAGGGATGTGAAGGTAGAGTATTAACGTTTTATTTTAGAGAGTGAACTGAAATCTTGCAACAGAGACACCAGTCTGGAGGATATATGAGAGATCTACTAGATGAGATGAGAGAATCATTATTATGATTCGGGAAAGACATAATTTACTACCCTGACAAAAAATGTAAAGAGGAATGGAACAAAATTCAAGAGATGAAGGAGTAAAGGGAGCAGAATGCTGTCTTATAAGATAGAAGAAAGGTAGGAGTCCAGTACAGAGGAGAAGAATATATGATATTTGGGACATGCTGAACCGTGGGTCTAGAGTTCTGAGAAAAGTGTGGGTTAGAAATAAACAACTTTGGAAGTAATTACCATATAAACTGAGTAAGAAACAAAGGACTGAGAAAAGAACCCTAAAGAGAGTCAGCGGCAGTAGGCAATGGAGACAGCAAAAGTACAGTTAGAGGTGTGGTACTGTTAAGAGTAATGGAAAAATCTAGAAATGGATAATTGTGGTGGTTGAACAACATGATAAACATAATGTCGCTGAATTGTACATGTAAAAAAATCTTGAAGTGACAAATGTTTTGCTACATATGTATTTACCACAATAATAATAATAATAAGTTGACAGATAAGTGGGAAAAAGGAAGCAATGGACAGAGTTTTAGAAGAAAAATAGTTGACAGTGAGACAGCCATATAAAATAATGATTAATACAGCACAGATGGGATTGGCAATTTATGACATCCCTGGTGGCCTTTTTAAAAATTATTTTTTTTAAAAAATTGTTCTTTAGGTGAAAGTTTACAGAGCAAATTAGTTTCTCATTAAACAATACACAAATTAATTTGTGACATTGGTTGCCAACCCCACGATGTGTCAACACTCACCCCTTCTCAACCTCAGGTTCCCCATTTCCATTCTTCCAGTTTTCCTGTCTCTTCCTGCCTTCTCCTCCTTGCTTTTTTGGGCTGGTATGCCCATTTCATCTCGCATACATGCTTGATCTATCCGTGTTACTGTTTTATAGGCCTGTATAATTTTTGGCTGAAGAGTGAACTTCAGGAGTGACTTCAATACAGAGTTAAAAGGGTATCTGGGGGCCATACTCCCAGGGTTTCTCCAGTATCTGTCAGACCAGTAAGTCTGGTCTTTTTTTATGGGTTTGAATTTTGTTCTACATTTTTGTCCCACTCTGTCTGGGACCCTCTATTGTGATCCCTGTCAGAGCCATTGGTGGTGGTAGCCAGGCATCTTCTGGTTGTTCTGGACTCAGTCTGGTGAAGGCTGTGGTAGTTGTGGCCCATTAGTACTTTGGATTAATCTTTCCCTTGTGTCTTTGGTTTTCTTCATTCTCCTTTGTTCCAGATGGGGTGGGTCCAGTAAATGTATCTTAGATGGCCGCTCACGACTTTTTAGACACCAGATGCTACTCACCAAAGTAGGAGGTAGAACATTTTCTTTATAAATTATTGTTATGGATTGAATAATGTCCCCCTCAAAATGTATGTAAACTTGGCTAGTCCATGATTCCCAGTATTGTATAATTGTCCACCATTTTGTATCTGATGTGATTTTCATATGTGTTGTAAATCCTACCTCCAAGATGTTAATGAGATGGGATTAGTAGCAGTTATGTTAGTGAGGCAGGATTCAATCTACAGGATTAGGTTGTATCTTGAGTCAGTCTCTTTTGAGATATAAAAGAGAGAAGCTAGCAGAGAGACATGGAGACTTCCTACCACCAAGAAACAAAAGCCAGGAGAATAGTGTGTCCTTTGGACCCAGGGTCCCTGGGCTGAGAAGCTTCTAGACTAGGGGAAGACTGATGACAAGGACCTTCCCCCAGAGCCAACACAGGTACCATATCAGGCTTACTCACCACTGCATCTCCAGTGCCTAGCATCCTGCTTTTCACGTAAGAAGCATTTAAGAAATAGTTGATGAGCGATTAAGTGAAGCAGCTCTAAGTTGAGAGGCTAGAGTTTAAGTCCTATTTTTACCTCCATCTGTGTAACCTTGGACATAGTGACACAAAGGAGACAAATAGATCAGAGGGTGTCAAACTTGGCATCATCTAGGAAGTCTTTTTTTTTTTTTTTTAATTGTGTTTTAGGTGAAAGTTTATAGCTCAAGTTAATTTCTCATACAAAAATTTATACACATATTGTTATGTGACACTAGTTGCAATCTCCACAATGTGACAGCACACTCCCCCTTTCCACCCCAGGTTTCCTGTGTCCATCCAACTAGCTCCTGTCCCTTCCTGCCTTCTCATCCTGCCTCCCAACAGGGGCCGCCCATTTGGTCTTGTGTATCTGATTGAACTAAGAGGCACACTCCTTGTGGGTATTGTTTATGTTTTATAGTCCAGTCTAATCTTTGTCTGAAGAGTGGGCTTTGGGAATGGTTTTAGTTCTGGGTTAACAGGGCGTCTGGAGACCATGGCTTCGTAGGTTCCTCCAGTCTCAGTCAGACCATTTAAGTCTGGTCTTTTTATGTGAATTTGAGTTCTGCTCCATACTTTTCTCCTGCTCCATCAGGGGCTGTCTGTTGTGTTCCCTGTCAGGCCCTTTGCCCATTTTTTGACTGGACTATTTGTCTTTTTCTTGTAGAGGTGTTGGATTTTCTTATAGATTTTGAATTAGAGATTAGACCTTTGTTGGATATATCATAGCCAAAAAATTTTTTCCCAGTCTGTAGGTTCTCTTTTTACTCTTTTGGTTAAGTCTTTTGATGAGCATAATTTTTAGAAGATCGCAGTGTATTGTTAGTTATGGTTTGTATCCTATTTATGCTTTATATTAGGGCCCCTAGTGTTGACCCTATTTTTTCTTCCATGACCTTTATAGTTTTTGGTTTTATATTTAGGTCTTTGATCATTTTTGAGTTAGTTTTTGTGTATGGTGTGAGGTATGGGTCCTGTTTCATTTTTTTACAGATGTACATCCGGTTTTGCCAGCACCACTTGTTAAAAAGACTGTGTTTTCCCCATTTAATCAACTTTGGGCCTTTGTCAAAGATCGGGTGGCTGTAAGTGAATACATTTACATGCGCATTCTTGATTCTATTCCACTGGTCAATCTGTCTGTCATTGTACAAGTTTTGACTACTGTAGCTGTATAGTATGTTCTGAGGTCAGGTAGTGCGAGCCTTCCTACTTTGTTCTTCTTCTTCAATAATGCTTTATTTCTCCGGGTCCTCTTTCCTTTCCATATAAAGTTAATGATTAGTTTCTCCATCTCTTTAGAGAATGTTGTTGGTATTTGGATCGGGATTGCATTGTATTTTTAGATCGCTTTGGGTAGAACTGCCATTTTCACAATGTTGAGTCTTCCTATCCATGAGCATGGTATGTTTTTCCATTTATGTAGGTCTCTTTTGGTTTCTTGCAGTAGTGTTTTGTAGTTTTCTTTGCATAGGTCTTTTATGTCCCTGGTTAGATTTATTTGTATGTATTTTATTTTTTTAGGGGCCATTATAAATGGTATGGCTTTCTTGATTTCCTTTTCGTAGTTCTCTTTATTGGTGTATAGGAATCCAACTGGATTTTTGTATGTTTATCTTGTATCCTGCTACTCTGCTGAATCTTTCTATTAGTTCCAGTAGTTTTCTTGGGGTCACTTGTGGCCTGTTTGAGAGTAGCTTGAGTGGATCAGTGGAAGCAGAAATGTGATTGGGATAGGTTGGAGTAGAGCATGTGAAGAACTAGGAAGCAGACATATTAGTAATCCATATGAGAGAATTGCACTTAAATGAGGCACTAAAGTCAAGGAAGGTGTCTTCTTTTTTTTTCCATTTCCTCCCTCTCTTCCTTCCTCCTTTTCTTCTTCCCTCCTCCCTCCCTCCCTTCCTTCTTCCCTTTCTTTCTTCTTTATTTCTTTTTCTTATTTAATAGGAAAACTATAAGCATGTCTGGATGGGTGATGGAGATGTGGGAAGGGAAGGGAGAATTAGGAAGTAGGACTGACTGCACTATACTGAATACGAGTCCTGAGAATAAGTGGCCACGCTGTTCTTTCGGTTACTACTTAAAACTTCTTTACCAACCATCCTTAGGTTGTGGGGCAAATTATTCAAGAATCCAAAAGTAGATCCCTTATTTTATTGGCCATTTTCAAGACATTGGTAGGGAATGGTCTCTCTTATTCCAGCAATTTTCAAAATTGTTTTCTAACTTGTCTTATAGGAATAAGAAGTTGATGAAAAGATTAATTACATTGGAGAAGGCGAAGTAGCCTGGTGCGAACACACCAACATCAATCCTTTTGGATGAGCAACGTATTAGTAAGCAACAAATGATGGAGAGCCCCTACCTTGATTGACTTGCATGCTAATAATTGCTGTGCTCTGAGTTACCAATCCTCAGTGCTGTCTTATCCTTGACTACAGACAAGAATGCCTGGATTTAGGCTTGATATCTGCTAAAAAGTCACTGCTGTTGCTCTTTTTCATGAGTTGGCATTAAGAAGAGGCTTTCCCACCCACTCCAATCAAGATGTTCCCTCTGTATTGGACTCCATATAAAATACTGTTTGAGGAGAGTTCCACTGTGGAAAAATATATTAGTAAATATTTTTAATATTAAGCATTTACCCGCATAGGCTACAGTTTGTCTTTACTCCTTTAAAATGTATTCACAGTATTCACAAGGTACCTAAGGGTATAGAGTGAAATATTTCTCATTATAAAATTGATGCAATTAACCTTTTTCAATTATACTGTTCGTGTGTATTTGTACAGTAAAATTCCTATAAGAATTGCTTAGTAAAAGAGTATATGCATTTGTAATTTTTAATTGCTTAATTGCTCTCCATAGAGGTTGTTCTAATTGACAGCCTGACTAGCAATGTAAAGAATGCTGTTTACCCACAAAATAACACCTTTGGAGATGTTGCCAAGTGACATGGTAGAATATAGTATCTTTGTGTGGTTTTTGCCTTTAATTTAGGTGTGAGATTAGTATGTTTCCTTATAAGAATGATTTAACAAACATTACAGACGTCAACTCTTCAATTTGGTATAGTCTTACAACCAAACAATTTTTTTTGGTATGAGTATATAACTGTAGAGCTTAAAGAAAGAAACTTGATTATCTACTTACTGAAGGAGAAAACTCTGAATACTGTTACTTAAAATATTGATGTAATAAATGTCATTTAATGGTTATAACTGACCTCAACTAATATAGTATGTTGTCAGTTAGAGTTCAGTAAGGTGATGTCTTTCTCAAAACCTGTGAAATTAGTCTCAAAACTTCTAACCAGTTCTCTATAGCATCCTCTCAACTAAAGTTTTAAAGGAGTATGTATAAACACTTATTTCTTGACCTTTGTACCAAAATAAAATTTTTTCAAAAAAAGCCACACAATGTTACTCTGTTGATAAATTGATTACTTCTGATTCCTAAAGCTGACAACTGGTTGTACAGCTATTCCATTAAGAACATTCTTGGCTAATGACGTTGCCTAGTGCAACACATGGTCAGAGGGTTGGCATTATAAAAGTCTTTCAACAGCTATGGGGACTATAGTAACAGTGAAAAGATGTCCAGGTATTAAAGAGGGAGGAGAAAGTATTTCCTAGTGTTTACTTTCATGAATCCACTAGGGAGCCTAGAATAAATTAGCCACTCTCAGGGTTCTCTCATCACTTGGAAGAAGATCCAGTTATAGATGTTCGTAAAAACCAGTTGTCGTTAATTCAACTCTGATCCATGGTGACTCCGTGTGTGTCAGAGTAGAACTGTGCTCCATAGGATTTTCAGAACTAGATCACAATTCCTTTCTTCTGAAGTTCCTCTGGGTGGACTTGAACCTTTAACTTTTTGGTTAGCAGCTGAGCATGTTAACGTTTTGTACCACCAGGGACTCCAGATATTCATAGAAATAGGATTTCTTTTTTTCTATGTCACCTTTCTGCCCTGAACTTTACTATGAAAATATTAAAACACACAGAAGAGTTGAAAACAGTACAATGAATTACCTGGAAGCCTCCCTAAATTCAACAAGTACTAGCGTTTTCCCATATTTGGTATATATATTCTATATAAAAAATAGAATTTTTTTTCAGAATCATTTAAAAGTAGGTTGAAGACATCAAGACACTTTACCCCTAAAATGTCTGTATGCATCTCCTAAGGAAAGGACAGCCTTTACATGAACATCAAACCAAAAAAACAAAACCCATTGCCATCAAGTCAATTCCGACTCATATCAACCCCGTAGGACAGAGTAGAACTGCCCCATAGGGTTTCTAAGGCCGTAAATCTTTACGGACGCAGACTGCCATATCTTTCTCCTTCAGAGCAGCTGGTGGGTGTGAACCACTGGCCTTTCAGTTACTAGACAAGTACTTTAAACCTAGGCCACCAGGACTCCATCTACTTCATCAGAATACCATTAAAAAACCAAACTTGTTTCCATTGAGTTGATTCCAACTCATGATGACCCCAGGATTTTCTTGGCTGTGATCTTTATGGAAGCAAATTGACAGGCCTTTCTTCTGCAGCAACTGCTTGGTGGGTTCAGATTGCTAACTTTATGTTAGTAGTCAAATGCAAACTGCGCCACCTAGGAACCTTATAATACCATATTACTTTATAATAATTACAATCACACTTATCAAACTACAGAAATAATAGTATACACAAATCTAATAACCAGACTTTTTTTTCAAATTTCCTCAAGTGTCCAAAATTTTTCCAACTAAAATCCAATCAGTGTTTATGCATTATACATATATATATGTATATATTTATATACATAGAAACCCTGGTGGCGTAGTGGTTAAGAGTTCGGCTGCTAAACAAAAGGGTATATATACGTATACACCCAAAAAAACCAAACCCATTGCTGTCAAGTCAATTCCAACTCATAGCGACCCTATAGGACAGAGTAGAACTGCCCTGTAGGGTTTCCAAGGAGCACCTCGTGGATTCAAACTGCCAACCTTTTGGTTAGCAGCCGTGGCTTTTAACCATTACACCACCAGGGTTTCCGTACATATATATACATACATACATACATAGATATGTATATATGTATGTATATATATATATACACACACACGCATACACACTACATATATATATATATATATATATATATAGTCCTTTTACAGAGCAAATTAGTTTCTCACTAAACAGTTAATACACAAATTGTTTTGTGATATTGGTTGCCAACCCCTTCATGTGTCTATACTCTCCCTTTCTCCACCCCAGTTTCCCTTTTTCCATTTGTCCAGTTTTCCTGTCCCTTCCTGCCTTCTCATCTTTGCTTTTGGGCTGGTGTGCCCATAGTCTCACATACATGATTGAACCACGAAGAACATTCCTCATGAGTGTTATTATTGGCCCACTGGACCTGTCTAACCTTTGGCTGAAGAGTGAACTTAAGGAGTGACTTCTGTACTGAGTTAAAAGGGTGTCCAGGGGCCATGTTCTTGGGATTTCTCCAGTCTCTGTCAAACCAGCAAGACTGGTCTTTGTGTGTGTGTGTGTGTGCGCGTGTGAAATTGAATTTTGTTCTACATTTTTCTCCCACTCTGTGATCCCTGCCAGGGCAGTCAGTGGTGGTAACTGGGCACCATCTAGTTGTTCTGGGCTCAATCTGGTGGAGGTTGTGATAGTTGTGGTTCATGAGTCCTTTGGACTAATCTTTCCCTTGTATCTTTGGTTTTCTTCATTCTCTTTTGCCCCAGCCAGGACAGGATCAGTAGATGTATCTTAGATGGCCGCTTGCAAGCTTTTTAGATCCCAGACTCTACTCACCAAAGTAGGATGTAGAACATTTTCTTTATGAACTATGTTATGCCAATTGAGCTAGATGTCCCCCAAGACCTTGGTCTCCACCTGTCTTAGTAATCTAGTGCTGGTATAACAGAAATACCATAAGTGTATGGCTTTAGTGAAGAGAAATTTATTCTCTCATGGTCTAGGAGGCTAGAAGTCTGAATTCAGGGTGTCAGCTCCAGAGGAAGTCTTTCTCTCTCTGTCAGCTCTGGGGGGAAGGTCCTTGCCATCAATCTTCCCCTGGTCTAGAAGCTTCTCAGTGCAGGGACTCTGGGTCCAAAGGACACGCTGTTCCCCTGGCTCTTGTTTCTTGGTGGTATGAGATCCCCCTACCTCTCTGTTTGCTTCTCTCTTTTATATCTCAAAAGAGATTGACTCAAGATACAACCCATTCCTGTAAATTGAGTCCCATCTCATTAACTTAGTTGCCGCTCATTCTGCCTCATTAACATCATACAGGTTGGATTCACAACACACAGAAAAATCACATCAGATGACAAAATGGTGGACAATCACACAATATTGGGAATCATGGACTAGCCAAGCTGACACACATTTTGGGGGGACATAATTCAATCCGTAACATTCCATCCTTTGGCCCTCAAAAATTCATGTCCTTGCCATATGTAAAACATATTCACCCCATCATATCATAGCAAAATTGTTAAATCAACTCCAAGTCCAAAATCCAAAATTCCTCTTCATCTGTGAAATCTAGAATACGAATTATCTACTTCCAAAGACCAATGGTGGAACAGCCACAAGCTAGACATTTCCATTACAAATGGGAGAAATTGGAAGGAAAGAAGGGATAACAGGCACCAAGCAATTCAGCAGAACACATTACATTAGCTCTCAAGGCTTGAAAATAATCCTCTGTTCTCTGAGATCATTTAGGGTATTGGCCACACTTTCTGGATTCTGGGTGGTGGCCCTTCAGCCTTGGACTTCAGCTCCTCCTTCCAGGCCCACTGTAATGGCAACTATGCTCCCTCAAATTTGGGTGGCCCCATTCTCCTAGTCCATTTTGAGTGGCAACTCCACCCTTTGAGACCCCAGAGGTCGTGACCCTACCCTTTGAGACTGAGGCAGCTTAGCTTAATATGTTCCTTGTCTCTTAGGCTTCTGCTTCCTTGTTTCTTGGCCTCTTGCCCCTCTGGCCTCACTGCCCGTGTCTGCCCTGCTTGGGCAAGTGTTCCAAAGCTCTGTAGCTCCACTGATAAGGGCCAAGAGGCACCCCACTCCACCAAAAAGCCTCCTGCACAAAGGCAATCAGCAGTCTGGCTCTGTGGTTAGCTCCAGTGCTATCTTGTACTGGTATCCTGGTTCTGATGCCACCATTTCTCTGCTGCTGCTTCTCACCATCTGCACCATCTCCAGTGTAACAGCTTTACTCATTTCCTTCTGAATCTTCACCAGAATTGTCTTTGATGTCCATAATTCCTTGTGCTCCCTGTCAGGCC